CTGCACTCCAGCTCAGAAAGCAGCAGCAGGGATTCTAGGGAACTGCTGCTTCCCCCATGTCTGCTGGGTGCGGTGGGAGAATGCCCATTTAAAAAAAAAAAAACTAACTACTTTGGGGATATCCTTGCTCCCTCTCACTCTTGTGACCAGGCAATGGCTGCCCTGCTGACCTCTCTGGTGTCATCTTCAAGATGCTGAATTCCAAAAAGCCTCACCGCCCTTGTCCTCCCTCCCTTTCATCTCAATGCAGATCGGAGGCCTGAGTGAGCAGCAGACAACACTTAAAGGTGGCCTGTGGATGCTGGAGCCACAGGCCACTGAAGGCTCCTTGGGCTTCCAGAGAACCCTCAGAGACTAAGCAGCCTGGGAGGAAGAGGCAGGGACAGGCATTGAGCCAGCCACTCCAGACATGCCAATCACTAACACACACCTACATGACATCCATTCAGTCCGCCTTTCTCCATAAGGCAGTCTTGCCCCCCTCGTCAGCACCAAGGAGTTTGGAGCTTGAGGATTCAAAACACTGGCCATCTCTCTCATACTTTGCAGACTTTTTGTTAAGGTCATGTTAAAAGGTGCTGTTAAGGAGCACACTGTTAAAAGGCACATCTGATTTTCCCTGAAACAATCTCTGTACATGCTGACATAACTGGATTCCAATCAGAATTCTACTTAAGGTAGGTGACAACTAACTCCTGATCCTCTGGAGAGAGATCAGAACAAGTGTCTCATCAGGAGAGAGATTTGAACAAGTACCTTCCTCAGTCTGATGTTTTTCTTCCCAGCCGGTGACAAAATACATACACTGGGAGGGAAAGAGGCATTGACGAATTGTGAAAGAAAGAAGGGAGGAAGGAAGAAGAAAGGAGAAAAAGAGAAGATGCTACATCCGCCAGCTACTTTAACTCTAATACTTGGTGCACATACTACATATCTATCAGTATAGGTGTGTTTTACCTTGTAAATACCAATTTCACACCTTGTACATGTGCATACCTGTTTTTAAGCAGCACACATGCACCTGGTATCTCACCCATCTCAAGGACAGCTCCTCTCCATGACTTCCACATGTGACCCCTGTGCACACACATACACAGTCCCTCAAAGTCCCGGGCCACATCCCCGCCTGCGTTAGCGCAATAGCTAAGGGGCATCCACTTGGTGTTGTTAAAGCACACATCCAGCCTTCACCCCAACCCCGTAGGAGCAGTACACGGATTCCAAGGAGAAGCCTGGTTCCTAGATCCACTGGCAACGCAGGAAGAGGCAAAGGCGATTCAGACAGCGCCCCTAGGCGACTATTCCCAGAGATCCTCTCCCCAGCCCTATTCCAGCCTCCGCGAGGGACAGGCCAAGCCGAGGTTTCTTCGTACAGTCACACGCGTTTCTGGGCTGACTTTCCCAAAACCTCAGCGCAGCTCTCCCACCCTATCAAGTCCGCCCCCCTCGGTGTCTCGTCCCTCCCCAGCCCCGAGCTAGAAGTTCAGCCTCAAGACAGCGGCAAACAGCAAAGCAAAAGAGTCGTTTTCTTTCACCTGAAAGTCGCGAGGAGGCTTGGAGCGCCTCTCCTCGCTGGGGCCCGAGCTTCCTGGGCTCTGGTCGGGTGCCGGCGGAGCCCCCCGGGGTCATCGTCATCTCATGGCCCAGTCCTCAGAGCGAGCACCGACAGATTTCAAGGGCTCATGAGAGCGAGAGCCAGGCTGTCGGCTGGGCCCCCGAGGCTCGCCGGGCGGGGGCAGGCCGGTCCAGGCTGTGCGGGGCGTTTACAAAAAGTGACTTGGAGATGAACTCGCCCGTGCGCGGCTAGCCGCCCCGCTATAGGGGCGAAGGCGCCTGACGCAAGCGGAACTTGGTGGAGCCCATACGAATCAGAACAGAGCGAGGCTCCTGGCGCACTAGGGACTCCAGGAGGCTGCTCCGCCAGAGACGCGGGTCGTGCTTCGGGAAACCGGGGGGCGGGGGGAGGGGAAGAGCGCAGAAAAGAAAACCCACCGAGGCGGGGACTGGCCTGGGCGGGGAGGGGCGGCGAGGCCGGAGCCCCTCTCTGTTGGGCGGACTCCCCATGGCCAGAGGCTGAGCTCCACTCCCGCCAGCCGCTCCCTAGGGGAAGGGGAAGGAGAGGGGAGAGCAGCGAGAGGCCTCCAGCGAGCGAGCGCGGGCGGCATCCGCAGTCTCCAGAAGTTTGAGACTCGGCCGCAAGCCGACTCGTGAACCCCAACTCTTTGCCGCGCCAGCGCTTGGAGCGGAGAGCAGAGGCGGCCCGGCCGCGGCGCGCCGGCTTTGTCATGATGGCCAGCTACCCCGAGCCCGAGGACGCCGCGGGGGCCCTGCTGGCCCCAGAGACCGGCCGCGCAGTCAAGGAGTCAGAAGCGCCGCCACCGAGCCCAGGCAAGGGCGGCGGGGGTGGCGGTGGGACAGCCCCAGAGAAGCCAGACCCGGCGCAGAAGCCCCCGTACTCGTACGTGGCACTCATCGCCATGGCGATCCGCGAGAGCGCCGAGAAGAGGCTCACGCTGTCGGGCATCTACCAGTACATCATCGCCAAGTTCCCGTTCTACGAGAAGAACAAGAAGGGCTGGCAAAATAGCATCCGCCACAACCTCAGTCTCAACGAGTGCTTCATCAAGGTGCCGCGCGAGGGCGGCGGCGAGCGCAAGGGCAACTACTGGACGCTCGACCCGGCCTGCGAAGACATGTTCGAGAAGGGCAACTACCGGCGCCGCCGCCGCATGAAGCGGCCCTTCCGGCCGCCGCCCGCGCACTTCCAGCCGGGCAAGGGGCTCTTCGGGGCCGGAGGCGCCGCGGGAGGCTGCGGCGTGGCGGGCGCCGGGGCCGACGGCTACGGCTACCTGGCGCCCCCCAAGTACCTGCAATCCGGCTTCCTCAACAACTCGTGGCCGCTGCCGCAGCCTCCCTCACCCATGCCCTATGCCTCCTGCCAGATGGCGGCGGCCGCGGCCGCTGCGGCGGCTGCGGCTGCGGCCGCGGGCCCGGGTAGCCCTGGCGCGGCCGCTGTGGTCAAGGGGCTGGCGGGCCCGGCCGCCTCGTACGGGCCGTACACACGCGTGCAGAGCATGGCGCTGCCCCCCGGCGTAGTGAACTCGTACAACGGCCTGGGAGGCCCGCCGGCCGCGCCCCCGCCTCCGCCGCATCCCCACCCGCTTCCGCACGCACACCATCTGCACGCGGCCGCCGCACCGCCGCCAGCCCCACCGCACCACGGGGCCGCCGCGCCGCCCCCGGGCCAGCTCAGCCCGGCCAGCCCAGCCACCGCCGCGCCCCCGGCGCCCGCGCCCAGCAGTGCGCCCGGCCTGCAGTTCGCTTGCGCCCGGCAGCCCGAGCTCGCCATGATGCATTGCTCTTACTGGGACCACGACAGCAAGACCGGCGCCCTGCATTCGCGCCTAGATCTCTGAGAGCCCACCGCATGCCAGTGCGGACGCATGCGAGGATGCAGGAACGCGCGGCGCCGGCCCTAGTCGCAGCCGCCGCCGCCAGCCGGACCTCGCACCCTCTGGGGCCGCCTCTAGATTCAGCGCCCAGGGTCCCTCTGTGCTTTTTCGCTCTCCTCAGCTCCTCTCGCCCCTCTTTGTCCCTCTGCTTGTCCTTCTGTGCTCACCTCCGTGACCTCTATGCCCTTGCACTCCCCCGGCCTGAAGCCGCCTCTCTGCGCGCTTTCTGCTGGGCTCTTCTCTTTCCGGAGCCCCAGCGTCTCCTGCCCAAATTGACCGCAGAAAGCGCCCGGGGCCGAGGTGCGACCCGGCGTCGGCGGCGCAGACCTCTTGGCCTTCTCTCACAGGTCGGTGCGCTAGCGCTCGGCGTTCCCCGCCCGACTGCCGTGCAGTCTGTGGTTACACGCGCCGGACTGGATTGGCGGCGGGACCCGCGCCGCGGGAGAAAGGGACGGACCAATTTGTGTGTTTGCTCCGCGAACCCTCTTGAAGGTGTTCAGAAGCTGTTTGCCGCGGGGCCCACTAGGCGTTGCAGGGGTTGGGAACCAGCAGGAGCCGGGGCAGCCCGGCTCTGAGGCCTGTGCTTGGTTTACACCACGGGCCCGCGCAGAGGGAGGCTGCCTGTCCTCCGCTGTCCGTCTGGGCGCTTCGGGCACCTCCGGGCCCGGCGGCTGGCTAACGTTTTGTTTAAAAGATCGGTGGGGCTTTTTAAGAGAGTATCCAAAAAAAAAATTTTTTTTTAAGGAAAAAAACATTCACCGGGCAACCGGGGAAGTATTGTGGCCTTGGAGTTTGCTAAATCCAAACATGAAAATCAAAAGCTTTAGTATTCTTCATCTTCTCTTCTGGAAGATTTGTGTTAGAGTTCCTGTCGGGCCTTCAAAAAGCTGTGTTCAGAGGTAGGAGAATATATCCAATAAAAGACGGTTTCGTCTACCATTTGGGGAAGTTTTCACCCGCTCCCTATCTGAAGAAAAAAAGTCAGAAACAAATGTCCCCGGATCTTCCGATGCAAGTCCTGGATCCCGGGAGATGACTGCCTGCCTGGCCCTCACTGCAGGGACGGCTCGTCCTTCCTGCTTTTTGTTTTTCAAACGTCCTGCTTCTCCCACCTTGGGAAGGAGAAATGTGAAACCCGACAGCGACCGACCTAGGCGGTCTTGTGGCCCCGAGCCGGCCCAGCCCGAAAACCGTAGCCCTGGTTGTCCTGTAGTTTGTCATTTGGGGGACCAAATTTTCTAGAGAAAACTAGAGCACTTTTGTTGTGTTTTTGTTTTGTTTGTGTTTTTGTTTTTGTTTTTTGCCTGGTCGATTTCCGAATAAATTTTTTGTTCTTCCTTTGAACACGGACTTATTTATTTCCTTCGCGCCTTAGTTCAGCAGCTAGTTAAAAGTGGGAGACTTTCAGCAAAATTTTATCTTTTTCAGAAGGAGCTAAACAAGGATTGAGAGCAACCAGGGTGGCGGGCGTTTGTGGCTGTCGCTGCTGCTTTGTTTTCCTGGGGATTGTTTGTTTTCAGTGTCATCACTGGCCCGTTGCAGCTGTTTAACGTCAGCAGAAAGACTTTCTGCCGCGGTTCGCTCACAAAGCGTTACTATAGGTAGGACTTGTTTTATTTTGTACCCATTCAAGTTTGCATTCTACCTCATAGGCAGTTGTACTAAGTTTATGCGCTGGCTGTGTTTTTATTATTGTTCTCGTACTTTTCGATTTTGAGTCAACTATAACAGCCAAGAATTTGTTCCAAGTATTAATAGATAAAATTCTGGTTGTGGAAATGCGATACAAGCTGCTAAACCCTGTACAAATGTGAGGAGTGACTGCTTTATTATTTTTAATAGTCAGAATTCATTTACCTTGAGATAGGGGTAGGCGATTTGGAGGTTTCACTAAGGATTGAACATACTTCGTGGCTGCAGAAATTTAGTCTTTTTTCTTTCTCTCTCTTCCTTTACTGAGATGTTCAAATAACGAATTAAGATCCGTGCTTCCGCGCAGGCACACAGGCGTTTGACCTGGTTGCAATCTGGTTCTCCCAGGCGGATTAGGGGGTGGTCGGCCTTCAGTCTTCTGATGGGATAGATGACTTCCGACTTCTGATGGGATAGATCAGCTGATTCTTGCGGGCTGCTGCTCAGCTGGGACTAGACCCGGCACCCAGCTGTGTGTTTCTCACTGCCCCCATCCATTTCGGGGCCTGGCCAGCAGTGTGGCGGCAGGTCGAGGCCGGCTGGTGGGCCAGGAGAGATTGGGCACCAAGGGAATGAGCCTGCAGGCCTCTCACTTCAGCCCTCCAGTGGTCAGGCCATAGGAACCTCAGGGTGGTAGCTCTGTTATATGTAGTTGAGCCCAAGTGGCTCCTGCTCAGAATGCCCCCTGTCCCCCCCCAATAGGCATCCTGCGGAAGGCTACAAGGCAGGAGACTAAGCCGCGGGGATTTTTAGGGGGCATCACCCCGACACTGGGACTGGAGCCTACCAGGAGCTGGCAGGAGCAGGATGGAGAGGGAGGCTCAGCTGGGGACAGGAGCCCTAGAAGATAGCCAGGCCTGGTGTCTGGGTGCCTTTGGTGCCCAGCTGCTCCACTGTCTGGCTAAGGGGAGTTGCAGAACAGAAAGCAGCCTGCCATGTGCGTGTCTGTGCTTTCTCTAGTGTGAAAAAGGTAGCTCATGGGCAATTGTGTAGTCTGTATCTGCTGCAAATGTGTATGTACAGTGTCAGTTGTATACTGGTGACAGGGTGGGAGGTGTGTGTGTCTGTCATTTGCCTGCAGAGTGGGCATATATTTTCGGCATTGTAATAACCATCTGGCTAACACTTAGAAAGTGCTTACTGGGACTACAGTGTGTGGCATTTATACCTCATTGGTGATGTGTGCATTTGTGGGTATGTATTCCTGGCTTGCTGAAAAATAAAAGAATGTGGACAGAGCCTTCGCTTCATCAGGCAGAGGCTCCCTGTTCTGAGGCTGGCTGTCAGCACTCCCCCAGCTGCTGTCTCAGAGAAAGCAAGGGAGGGAACCTTCAAGGGCCAAGCCCTTGTGGGCAGGTAGCAGCTCACCTGCAGTGAGTCGGAGAAGTTGGTGGGGGCCAGCAATGAAGGACAAGCCTGTCTCCTCCCCTGAGAACTGAAAGGCAAAAGGCACCCAAAATTGGGAAGGGATTAGCAGCCTCACCAAGTAAGGAAGACAAAATGAAGGACTCAGTGAGGGTTTCCCGGGTCTACACAGGGATTGCAGGAGATAGGAGAAGGGAACCAAATCATACCCCACTTCCCCATGGATGCCCATAGGAAAAATCTGTCTAATTCCAGCCCTTGGGGTTTCTCCAAGGCTCTTAAGTTTGGTCATTTTCCCCAGTGCCAAAAGTTTAGTTCAATGGTAGGCTTTCTTATCTTTCATTTCCTTTCTCTTCTCTCTCTCTTTGCATTTTTGAGTTTCTGTTATAGAAGCTGATTTAAGCAATTCCCTAAGTGAAGGTAAACGTATTTAGAGAGTTCCTGATATATAGCAATTATGCCTCAGCATATACAGTCTGGTTAGATGGCTGGCTCATGTGGGTGTATGTATATATGTTGGTCAGTGTGTAAATACAATGTAAATAGAGTTTAATACAAGTACCCCGCCAGTTTCTGAAGGTCCTGGGTAATGAGTTGTTCTTGCATGAAGAGTATGTGTGTGTTGGGTGTAAACATCCTCATACACTGCTGACAGTATGAGCACCCTCCTCACACTTACACAGAAATTCTTACAGTCACCTTCACCTAACTAAAATTGCCCAGTCAGAGTAAGTGGGTTAGTTGAGGGAAAGGTGGGGGGGGTATCCTGTTCTCAAGAGGGACCCTGAGAAATCTTTGCCACTCAAGTACATGCCCCAAGGGACTGTGGAAAGGAGACCTATGGAGCTCTGGAGATAGTCCTGTACCCCACTCCGGAGGGTATCCATAGCCTGTTTCCGGCTTGCATCAGTAAATAGTTTGCTGCTCCACATCTGAGGCTTGGATGAGCAAGAGGCCCTGGACCTTTCATTCCCAGGTTAGGTGCATCCAGCCTTGGCCGGGGTTTCCAGGAAGCCAAGAAAGCCAAGGCTGGAGGTCAGGCTACACGGAGCCCCCTGGTGGCGGGTGGAAATTGGGGCCATTCCCAGGCTTCATGCAGCTGGACAAGCAGAAGATGGGACAGGAATCTGGGTCTGGCCCAAGACAGTTTGCTCTCAGCTGAACTCTTCCCTTTATGAAGGCCTGAGCCAGGCTTAATGGACAGAATCGCTGGACCAGATTCCTGGCCTCTGGGTGGGGAGTCTAAGGCCAGGAAGCAGCTTGATCAGGCTCAGGACCCCTGCAGTGTCCCCACTCTGCAGATCTAACCCAGTGATGACCCTGGGCCCCGCTCATCAGTTCTGCCACCACTGTGTGGCAGCCCCTACTCTTGAAGTAGACTGTGGGACCCACAGGAAAAGATGGGAAAGGGATGGGACTAAGAGCCATGCTTAGAGACAACCAGGAATTAAGGATTCTTAAACCCAAGCAGTCTTAGCAACTTTCTGTTTTCTGGAGAGAGGGCTCCAGGCTGTCATAAAAAAAGTGTCTTGGATCTAGGAACCCAAAATTACATTTGAGGAATCTCAGGTCCTAAGAAGAGAAGAGACCAACCAGAGGTCATCCAGCTATCTGTGGGGCGAAATGCCTCAGAAATTTTAAAAGGAGACTTGACAGCAGCTGAGCCTAGCTACCACAGATGCTCAAGGGAGCTGCATGGTAAGGGGGAGCCTGCAGTAGAAGGAAACGCAGACTGAGCTGTGGGCAGACTGTGCCACAGAAACTGCTGCTGTGCCAGCTGTTTGCTGCACAGGCTTGGTGCTGAGCTATGAAAAGCTTGCTCTGGGATCTTGTCACTTCCGGGAGGTGGCCTGTGCAGGATGGGCAGACAGGGGCCTGTTCAGCCAGGAAGAACTGGGATGGAGCCTGGTGTCCTCTTTAGTAACTGTGTAACCTTGGCCAAAATACCCATTCGAATTTCAGTGTTCTCCTCTATAAAATAGAAATACATACGTGTTTGTATTGGAATTATTAAAATAATTAAATTTCCTAATTTTTAAGTGACCAGTTTATAGTAGTTGCTCAATAATGTTTTATTCCCTTCCCCATTTAAAAAAAAAAAAAAAGAAGAAGAAGAAAAGAAGGGAAAAAAAGAACCTTTAGTAATAACTTTCTAGGACTTGACTTCCTAACCCAGCTGCCACAGGCACCCCTGCCAGCACCTTCGTTGGGCCAGGCACACGCGATTGCATCCACCCTGCCCTAGCCCCTTGACCGTGAGAGTGAGGCGCAGTCGCCGTCGCGGCGAATACCTAAGCCATGAAGGCACAGACGGTGGATGTTGAGCCGCCCAAAACGGTCTTCACATGTTTAGGAGTTTTTCTCTGAGAAAGGCCATGCTGACCCGCGAAGCGGCACCGACCCAGGGGCTTGGGGCCAGCCGCAGCCCCACTCACAGGCTCTCTGGCCGGCGCCTCCAGTCCTCACGCGCCTCTCTCAACTGGTTGATTTTTTTTTTCTTTTTCAGAAAAGCAGAAGGTAGCCACCGGGCCAGAGGTTGCAGGGTCAGCCTGTGGGCGAGGCTCCCCTAGGCCTTTGTGGAGAAACGGGAAACCTGAGGGGCAAACGCAGGAAGCGGGTTGGGCCGAGTTGCAGGCGACAGAGGCGCCGCCCGCGGGTGGGGAGCAAGAGCTGCCCGCAGCCGAGAGACCCCTGCCTGGTCGCTAGCGCCTCGCGTCCGCGGGCCTGTTGGCGGCGCTGCAAGCCCAGGTCCTGGGGCGCGGGCCGAGTACCCTTTGCTAGGTCTAAACAAAATTCGGGGGACAATGAGTCGGCCAGTCTAGGCACAGGGTGCTCTCGACGGTGGGGCGGCGGGCAAATGCTCAGGGGCCCTGATCACCCCAGGGGTGCTGAGCGCACAGGGCAGAGGCCGCAGAGCCTCGGCGCGAGGCCGACTCCGATCACCCACACTGGGACCTTGCCCGTTTGTCCTTAGTAATAATAATGGCATCAAGCCGAGTTTTAAAAAACCATTCCCCTCATTTTCCTCTATGTACAAGGGAGAGAAAGTATTTCTAGGCAGTCAAAGAAAAAAAAAAGGGCAGAATCCCAGGAAACTTTAATCTCTACGGACGAGAGCAAAGGGGAATATGCCTTTTGCCTTTTTTGTTTGTTTGTTTCTAGAAGAGAAAAAAAGGAAATTCGACACATATTTTTAAAAATCTTCCCCGAACAATCGCTAAAGGCTGTGAGTGTGAGCAGAGAGCCAGGAAACCGAGCCCCCGCCCGCAGTGACACCGGGCCTTTGTCCTCCTTCCTGAAGCCCCCGCGACTGCTGACCGTGCCGAGATAAAGGCTGGGTCAGGGCCCTGTGGAATCCCGAGGGAGGGGCAGCGGGGCAGTCCCACTGGCCACTTTCAACCCCATATAGGGAGGTTTCCAACTGGTGGGCCCAGCGGATCCCCGGAACAGGGGCTACAAGGCCAGGGGCTGTCCCCACCCCCAGGCTCAAAGGAGGCACGGATCTGCCTTTCCCCTGAAAGGCTTCTGCCACTAAATTCCTTGGACCTTGCTCCCACCAGCATTATGTTTTCCTACTTAAAGTCTCCGGAGGCGTTAGGGACTGTGGTTCCCCGCCGGACCGATCCCCAGAAATGGAATCGTGCTCAGCCTCTGTGGCGACTCTGGCTTTCGCGACCGCTGGGCTCGGTTGGCCGGCCAGATCCGAACCCGCGTATCGTCTGTTCCAGCTGCGCCTCTCAGGGGCGCCTCTGTGCCTTCTCCGGGCCGCGGAGACTCCTCCAGCGCCCGGCCTCGAATTTTCCGCGCTACATCCTCCTGTCAGCCGAATGAGTCTGCAGAGAAGGCGAGAGACTGTTTGTGACCCTGCCCTGTCGCTTTCGGTGACTTAAAAACCTAGGTCCCGGGGGAAACCAGCCTACAGGGTATTGCCTTTGCGGGCGGCAGCCTTGGGCTTACGCCTGAGGTCATTTTCTCCGCAGACACTTCTGGGTGATGCGAGTGCTGCGCAGTTCAGAACCCTTGGAAGGAAGAGAGGGGGACGGGTCCAGCGGCCTTCGGGTGCGGTGATGGAGGGCTCTTCGGTAGCCACGCTGCCCGCCTCCCACGCACACCTTAACACGTCCTGGGGCCCCGGGCCAGCGCTACAGCCCAAATAGACCCTGCAGCCGCATTTTCCCCCAGGCGGAGGCAAACCCTGGCTTCACCTCCCCTCACCATGACTTGTAGGGCAGGGGGTCCCTGGGCCGCCTTCCCTGACCTGAATGAGTGAGAAATCCTTCTTTATTTTCAGTGGGGGTGTGACCTGGGGAGATAAAGAAAGGACCACAGACCTGGGGAGTGGGGCCCTGCACCCTCTTGTGCCGGGAGTGGCCTCCTTCTCTGCTCCCTCCCCCACCGGCAGGCTGGGGGTCTTGGTTCCCACTGAAACTGGAGCCGCTCCCCGGCGGGCAGATGAGAGATAAAGAAGCCCTGCGGCGCCGAAGCGCTGACCAGCAGACCCGGATCCGGACTTTTCCGCGCTCCAGAGCAGCACCCGAGATCCTACTTGCCCGGGTGGCACCAACCCAGCTCGGAAGAAATGGGTCAGCTGAGCAGCTCCTCCGGTGCCACGCGGTGTCTCCAGGCACAGACAGCTGTGCTTGATGGCGTAGTGTGCACGCGCAAGACTGCAGGATGATGTCCTGTATGAACCCTGTATTGGCCCCTTCACTCTCAGCCACTCGTATACGCATATGTGTGTGGATTCGGCATGTGTCTAGGGACAGGTGTGCACCTTTACACATACGTGATGTGTATGTGCACACATTTGTAGAACCTTCCAGCATCTATCCTGCTGGCTCCTGCAGACACGTACAGGGCTAGCTGCTCATAAATCATCATTACACCACGCATTTACACAGGCCTTTTCAGCTTGGGCATGATTTTCACAATCATCCCGGGAAATACTCTGCTTTCTAAGTTTACAGATGAGGAAACCAGCCAAGAGAAGCTAATGGGTGCCCGTGTGCACACACTCTGAGAGAGATCGAGGCCAGCCAAATGAACTTGGGTGTGTCTGCTGAATGTGCTCATAAATGGGTCTGTTTAGCGCCTCAAGGGACCTCAGGTCCGGCGGTCCTTGGCCCTTAACCAGGTTTCCTGGGAGACCCACCGCGCCTGGGTGTAGGGGTCTCAATTTGTGTGCTGATAAGCGCTGTCTTCTGGAGAGGATGCCCAAGGGGGGAAGTCGAGAGCTGGCCGGAGCGCTGCTGAGGCGATCCCGGCGGTTCCACGGCCTTGGCTGCCCACGCGCAACTGGGTTGCAAAGCCTGGAGGGCCTTGGTCTCTAAAGCAGCCACGTCAGGCAAACGTGCGATGAAAGGATCCTTTCAGCCCAGCTGCAAACCCAGGAACCCAGGGTTGCCGGAGCAGTGAGGCAGTTCCTGCTATCTCGAATCCCTAGCGCCCCTACAAGACCCGGAGCCCTCCATGCCCATTTTACAGATGTGATTAGTCGGAGGCTAAAGCGGTACAGTGAGTTGCTCCAGTTCAACACCAACTGAGTGGCCAGAGTAGGGACTGGAATCCCCAGTTAAGTGTGTCTGGATCCTTGGCCCACAGTCCCTCTGTCTCCAGCACGGATCGCTGGTCCCTCTTGTTCCACGTCTCCCGTGAGGTCAGGAGCCATCCCGCTACTACCCTCCGACTTCCCACGCCAAGAACGCGAAGACTCTCATAGCTCTCACCAGCATCATTTAAAAAGTTTCTACACGCTTGGAATCTGTTGCTTGAGAACAAATTCCGTGTGCGTTGGGTTTTGTTTCTTTCTAACCCCTTCTGAGGCAACTGGTCCCCTTCCACCCTCTAAGCCCTTGCCGTCTCAGAGTGAGGCTGCCTAAGGGCTGTAGTCTGACCACATCTAGGGGGTGCCCCTGGGCCTCGGCGCCGGGCTCCGGCAGACTGAGGTCGCTGGTCCCTGGGCTCCAAGGCCGCTCACCACCCCGCAGAGTCCAGGAGCTGGAAGGGAGCCCCGCGGTTCGGCGAGGTCGCCGTACGGGCTCACGGCCTCGACGCTGCCCTCTGCTGGTGCGGGGCGACATTACCGCCGCCTCCCTCGGCGGCCCAGGAGCTGCACCTACAGGAGGGGCTCGCGCAAAGCCTGGCGACCCCATTCTCGCTGGGTCCCCAGAATGGCGGCCGCACCTTCAGCCTCTGACGAGATCCTCCCGTATTTCTCAATCCGAGACTTCTGCTCCCCGTCGACACCCGAGCCGGAGCTCTGCGCTGGCAATCCAGCCGCTGTGCGGCGCCCATGGGGATCTGCGGCCAACCAGGCACAGCCACAGGCTAACGCCTGGGGACTCCGGTCGTGGCCCCAGGGTGTGCTCGACCCCTTTGCGCTATAGCATTGATTGGCGCCCACGGGTCCCGACCTACGCCCAAAAAAGGCTACCCCCCGCCCCTTTCAACTCCGCTTGATGGTGGCCCAGGCGCTTGGCTGCCTCTATTTCTTGCAGTGCACTCGCCTCTCCAACCAAATGAAGAGCGCCTCGACGGCCGGAGGGGGCGGCTCCCTACCCGCACCGCGCAGGCCTCGCTCAGGCTCTGCCGGGACAGGACGGAACTGATTCCAGAGGCTTCCATTCTTGCCCTTGAAATAAGCTTCAGGCAGTGAGGCGAAGAGACACTTTTGCCTGCTGCATCCATTCGAGACAGGATGGGGTAACAATTACGTAGTCATCATATCTATGCATTTCCAGTGGTAGGTATTAGGACTTTTCACCTTTTCACTTTTCCCCCCCTCACAAATTCAAACTGAAGAAAACTGGGAAAATAAAACATTAAAATGCACCCAAAAAAAGCACCAACACTACAACAATCCCATCCATCCTCTCACAAGGTAACCACGGTTAACATTTTGATGGCATTCTTCCAGTCTTTTTTAAATATATATTTCATTTAAAATAAGTCTAATTTTTATAATTAACACATACACATAAAATTTGCAGCTTTGTATCCTGCCTGTTTTAACCTTTCACCATAGGGTTTTTCTCCTTATCTTATTCGTTGAAAAATAGTTTTCAATTATTGCTTAATAATCCATCCTTTGGACGAAGCATAATTTTGTTATACACCAGCACCAAGTATCTGTTCTAGGCCCAGGAAAGTCTCCTTAAGCCAAGCTCCCTGGATCAGTCTGGATCTGTAAATATATAAACAGTAGTTGATCAATAAATGTTGAGTCTTTCTTTTTAATTTGTTGTTGCTGTTGTTCTTGTTCTTTTCTTGTTTGTTTTAAGATGAAGTCTCACACTGTCGTCCAGGTTGGCATGCAGCGGTGCGATCTCAGCTCACTGCAACCTCCGCCTCCTGAGTTCAAGCGATTCTCCTGCTTCACCCTCTTGAGTAGCTGGGATTACAGGCACCCACAGCTATGCCTCGCTAATTTTTGTGTTTTTAGTAGAGACAGGGTTTCACTCCATTGGCCAAGCTGGTCTTGAACTCCTAACTGCAAGAGACCCATCCACCTCAGCCTCCCAAAGTGCTGGGATTATTGGCATGAGCCACTGTACCTAGCCAATGTTGAGTCCTTTGCTAGCCTAACAAATGACTTGTGGTCCCATTCTCAGGACACAAAAAAATCAACCCAGAAATTAGGGACTGCCTTGATCTAGAAGAGGGCCTTCTACCCCCTGCTACCAGCCATCTCCCTCTGCTGGAGACCAGTATAGGTGGGGTGGTGGGACAGACACCTTGAAAAAAAAGCAGGGACCAGCAATGTGTCTGAAGAGGTGTCCTGGCCTGCTTCTAGAACCAAAGCCCTGTATCCCCAACGGGCACACAAAATGATGTTTGTGACCTGGGCTACTGTGTGCAGTGTCTTGTAATGATTAGGACTCAAACATGCCTTCACATAATCCTATGTCTTTCCCTTAAATGCTGTGTGACCTCAGAAAACCTGCTCAACTTCCCTGAACCTCATTCTGAAAACTGGAATAATAATGCCTACCACATCAAGCTTTTGTAAGTATTCAAATAAATAATGACACACTTAGCCTGGGGTTGTACAAATAAATCATCAATACATGGTAGCTATGGCTTCTTTTGCCCCTGCAGCTGCTATTGCTGTTGTTCTGGCATTAGCTGTGGTCTTGGGGATCACTGCAATTGCCCTCTCCCTCAACTCCTGACCCCGTTGCTACTGTTAAACACAAGCCCAAATCCTGGCGCTAAGCCGGATCCAGGTCCTCAGGGCTGAAGGAGTCATTTCCAGCATTCTGGTTGGGCTGCTCAGGACCTTCTGACAATCAGGCCTGGGCTTGGGCTGTTTATACTAGGACCGTTAAAACAGGAAAATATGCAAACCCTTCATTCACAGGGATCCGGCTATTGTTGGGTCAGAAATGATATTTTTGTTTCTAGAGTAAAAGGTACATTTTCTGCCTTACACACACACATGCTTTTTTAATTCTTTTGGTGGTGACTACAGAGCTTAGAAGGCAAAGTAAATGATCTGCTTCATTTGACCAGCTCAAGCAGCCAACCTGGAAAGGTCCCTTTGGCCTGATTGATATTTACATGCACTCCCACGAGCCTGAAACTCACTGGGCTCTGTTTAGTTCCTCCACAGACCAGGCTCATATCCATCTCCCAGACAAAATGCCTCCAAAATCCATCTCCCAGAAATAATAGGTTGAAGGCCAGGCCGGGCACGGTAGCTCAAGCCTGTAATCCCAGCATTTTGGGAGGCTGAAGCGGGCAGATTACCTGAGGTCAGGAGTTCAAGACCAGCCTGGCCAACATGGTGAAACCCCATCTACTAAAAATACAAAAATTAGGCATGGTGACAGGCACCTGTAATCCCAGCTATGCAAGAGGCTGAGGCAGGAGAATTGCTTGAACCCAGGGGGCAGAGGTTGCAGTGAGCTGAGATCAAGCCACTGCACTCCAGCCTGGAAGAAAGAGTGAGACTCTATCTCAAAAAAAAAAAAAAAGAAAGAAAGAAAATGATATGTTGATAGTGACACCATCTCCATCTAGGAAGGAAGTTAAAGAGGAATTTAATTTTTTTTTTTTTTTTTTAAAACAGAGTTTCACCCTTGTTATCCAGGCTGGAGTGCAATGGCGCGATCTCGGCTCACCGCAACCTCCGCTTCCTGGGTTCAGGCAATTCTCCTGCCCCAGCCTCCTGAGTCACTGGGATTACAGGCACGTGCCACCATGCCCAGCTAATTTTTTGTATTTTTAGTAGAGACGGGGTTTCACCATGTTGACCAGGATGGTCTCGATCTCTTGACCTCGTGATCCACCCGCCTCGGCCTCCCAAAGTGCTGGGATTACAGGCTTGAGCCACCGCACCCGGCGAGGAATTTAATTTTTAAAAAATTAACCCAAGGCCGGGCGCGGTGGCTCACGCCTGTAATCCCAGCACTTTGGGAGGCCGAGGCGGGTGGATCACGAGGTCAAGAGATCGAGACCATCCTGGTCAACATGGTGAAACCCCGTCTCTACTAAAAATATAAAAAATCAGCTGGGCATGGTGGTGCTTGCCTGTAATCCCAGCTACTCGGGAGGCTGAGGCAGGAGAATTGCCTGAACCCAGGAGGCGGAGGTTGAGGTGAGCCGAGATCGTGCCATTGCACTCCAGCCTGGGTAACAAGAGTGAAACTCCTTCTCAAAAAAAAAAAAATAAAAAAAATAAAAAATAAAAAAAAAAATTAACCCAACCAGTCTGATCCCAGTAGACTCAACCACACATCAAAATTTCATGGAAAATGTTTTTAAAACACAGACTTCAAGATCCTCTTCAAACTAAACAGCTTCTGCCTCTGGAGATGGCGCTTGGCAATTTATGTGCATTATCTGTAGTTCCTCCAGGTGATTCTGAAGAAGCCTATGGAGCCACATTGGGGAACCACTGCAGTTCTCAATTGAATTGAAAACAGGTTTCTCCAGGTGGACTCCAGAAAATACAGATTCCAAAGAGTCTTCGGCTGGGACCACATGGAATTACAAGGAGTTTGGGTGTAAGTGTGGTGGGGGAAGGGAATATATTATTTGTTTTTGTGTGCTTTTGTTGTGCTATTGCCTGTGGACGTGGCAAGCCTCTTTGGTCACAAGTAACATAAACCCATCCCAGCCAAACAGGTGGCTGGGGTCGGGGGGAAGTTATAAGGATTCATGCGTGACTCCTGGAGCCCCAGGCAGGGTGGTAGCCAGACTTCCTGAAGGGCTGTGCTGCAACAGGGGCTGAGGTGATGGCAAGAACCAATTTTTCTTGCTGCTCTGACCAGGTATCTCCTCTGCTCCATTTGAGAGAGGAGCCCCAGTCATAGCTGTAATTTCTGAATGCCAAGTCCATCTTTCTGTGTGAGAAAGCTGATTGGTATCCTGGGTCAGGTACTGTCCTGGAGGTACACCCCAGTCCTGTCAACTGGAGCTGAGGAAGAGGGTCTTCTGGTAGCTTCTGATGGTCCCTTCTTGTGGGAAGAGGGCAGTCATGGCACTCAGGAGAGGCTAAGCAGACACCCCAGAAAGTCTTATTTGTTTCAGTCTAGCCTCTCCAACCACTCAATCAATAGCTCAAGGATTTTTTATTCTAGTTGCCCTCCAAAATTGCCTTGGCACCTTAAAAAAAACTATTGTGCCACTTCCTTCAGCACCTCCTGGTATAAGAAAAATTGAAAAAGAGAATAAAAGTTAAAAAAAAAAAAAAAAAAAAAAAAAAAAAGCTATTGTGCCTTACCTCCACATCTTGGGTGTAGCCAGGGCATTGGGATTTTTTTTTTTTTTTTTAAAGCAATGCGGGTGATTCCAATGGACAGCTAGGGTTAAGAACCATGGCTGGGTGCAGTGGCTCACGCCTGTAATCCTAGTACTTTGGGAGGCCAAGGCAGCAGATAACCTGAGGTCAGGAGTTTGAAGCCAGCCTGGCCAACATGGAAAAATCCTGTCTCTACTTAAAAATACAAAAATTAACCGGGTATAGTGGCACATGTCTGTAATCCCAGCTCAGAAGGCTGAGACAGGAGAATTGCTTGAACTCGGGAGGCGGAGGTTTCAGTAAGTTGAGATCACGCTACTGCAATCCAGCCTGGGCAACAGAGTGAGACTTCTCCCCCCAAAAAAGAACCATGGCAATAACTAAATAGGGAACCTATAGCCAGTTGATCCATTTGCTAAAGATACAGCTTCAAAATAACCAATTAAGAGGAAAACTATTAAAATCTAATGGGTTGCACATGGCTTGTTTTCATCTAAATTGGACATA